GGAAGGGGAGCTCATCTCTGGGGGTGCAATGGAAACACAGCCTATGAATATAATTGTGGGATGACCAGACAAGAAGGATGTGTGCCAGGGAAATGCTCAGAAATACACATTCTTTAATGAGACACTGAATGAGAGCTGGAATGGCTCCATGCTTTGGTGGTTATCGTCATGAAGTGTCATTTGGGGATCCAGAAGAAAAGTGTAGTGGATGTAGTCTTTGCTTATTTTGGCAAGTCTGGTCCTGAGACTGTTAGGGCTACCCTATTTTGAATTAACACTCCAAATTTGGACCTACTTACAATATTTCCCATAGGTTCCTTGAGACTCCAACATCTCTAAAATTACTCATTTCTCCCAGCAAGCTGATTGGGGGAACATGGATGTTAGCAGATGGGCTTTGTCATCTAGGTCTTAGTCTTGTCTCTTTGTCTCCATTTTTCTCTATGTGCATTTCACAGAGAATGTTGGTACCCAGGAAAAAGGACAGTTGCAATAAAATATATCCATCAAAATAGCAATTGCTCCAGTTGCCAGAATAAAATGTCTTTGCCTCAAGGGAGTGAGCATTCACATACATTAGGACAACCAGGCTTAAGTTATAAATAAAGCCTTGAAAATAGGGATGTTCATGCAAAACTAAAAAAAAAAAAAAAAAAAATTAAGACTTTTGCCCTTGAATTTCATAAGAGTTTCTATTGACCTAAGGGTTTTCCACTGATTGTTTTATAACAATAGCATAAGTCTAGTGGACAAGAAATCTTACTATCTTTTTTATATTCACTATGTTCGCTTCCTTTGTTAGGAAGAATAAGAATGCTGCCTCACTTTAAGGATTTAGTTGAGAGTAGGCAACTGACTTTCAAAATGACACCTGCTTGGAAGACTCTATTATTACAAGAAGCTTCACAATGTTTACACAGCCCTTAATAGACTGATTTTAATTATACCAGTCAACAAACATCCATTTAGCCCTGCTACTGCATTATTAGTCATTGGAACTGCAAACATAATTGAGGTTGGCTTCTGCCTTTTAAAGGATGACTGTCATGTAAAGAATGACAGGAATTAAGATGATAGCCATTGAAAAGAGGACTGGCTGTTTGAGATGACTCAGGATACTTCAAGAAAGAGGGAAGATTTGACAGATAACGAGAGGGAAGGTAAATCAGATGTCCAGACAGAGAGCGACATACAGCTGAGTAAAGTCATGTCAACTGGAAGTCTCAGGGATCCATGTACCTAGAAAGTTGAGTTGGAAAGGGGGGATCTGTGAGAGAAGAGGCGGAAGGGAAATTCAGTCCAAGGGAGGACTTCTTCCCATGCCAAGGAGTTCGGATTTATACCAATGGCAATCCTGGATATTTTTAAGAGTTCCTTAGCTTGTGACATTCTCCTTGGGTCATCTCAGGTAACTTATTTCACTACTCCCACACCTTCCACTGCTGTTTGTATTTGTAACCTCAAGGGAACCAGTGAGAGACCTGAGCATCTGTATTTTCATGCAGTTTTGTAGCCAAGGATGCAACACAGGAAGACAGACTTTGGAGTAGAGAAAAACCACACTATGGTCTACCAGCCACATCACCTGAGGCAGAACAAACTCTTTCCTACGATCATGAATATGACACAGTAGAATAATAACAAATGACCACTGTAGTTTTTTTGTCACCATACTTATTTTGAAGGCTTATATTATTTAAAGAAATTCAGGAGAGGACAGGAGGCAGGGAGACACACACACACACACACACAGGTTAGGAGATTTTTGTGTTCATGAAAAGGAGTCAAGAAATATTAATACAACCCACTCACAGACTACCCAAATGAGGAGTAGTGGATAACTCTACCTGGTGTCCTACAGGCACCTCAAACTCAGTAAGTCCAAAACAAAACAAACTTTCACCTCATCCCCTAAAAGGCTCTCCCTCCCATAAGCCTCACCCAAGCCAAACTGTCTGAAAGCTGAGACCTCCTCAACAACTCACCTGTCTGTCTCTTTTCAGCCTTCAAAAGGCAGGATAGGGAAGATTATTGACTTTGTAATTAACCCTACCTGAGTTTATATTTAGTTTAGTTTTTTATTTTGCTTTAGAAGTAGGATCTTGCTCTGTCTCCAGGCTGGAGTGCAGTGGCACAATCATAGCTTGTTACAGCCTCAAATTCCTGGACTCTCAAGCTGTCCTCCTACCTCAGCCTCCCGAGTAGCTGAGACTACAGATGTGCATCACCATGCTCAGCTAACTTCTTTTCTGGTCTCCCAAAGCACTGGAATTACAGGCATGAGCCACCATGCCCAGCCCCCTCCCCTGGTTTCTATGTCAGAGACCACTTACAACCTTGATGACTTTTTAGAAGGACATGGACTAAATAGTATCCAGAGAAGAGTAATTACAATGTCAAAACATCTGGAAAAGGTGGGCAGAAGAGGTATAAGTTTTCATCCTTGAAAAGCAGCTTTCAGTCTTTAAAGGGTGACTTATGTTGGGGAATTATGTGTATTAATAACCAAATCTGACTGTGCCTTATGCTGGTATGAGTTGTATAACTTACAATGTGATAGCTACAAAGCAATTTCAGGCAATTCATTGTAAATGGGCAGGTTCATAATTCGAAACTCATTCATGCTTTAGATTAATATTTTGACTATATAACCCAAATTCTTCAATGATGCATGGAATGAACAAACCACGTGGGACCAGGAAAGTTCTTGTTAATAAAAACTTTTGCCTATTTTATTGTCCACTGTATATCCCCAGCACTTAGACTGAAGTGTGACATATGGTAGGCATTCTATAAAGATTTAGTGAATGAATTTGTCACTTCTACTAATAATACTTCTCCTAAAAGAAGACTAGGATTTAAATAAAAAAGGCAAGGTTTCTGGCTTTTCATTATATGGACAATGGCTCACTCCTGTAATCCTAGCATTTTGGGGGTCGAGAAGGGAGAATCGCTTGAGCTCAGAGTTCAAGACCAGCCTGGGCAACATGGCAAGATCTCATAAAATTAAAATTAAAAATTAGCCAGGTGTGGTGGCACACACCTGAAGTCCCAGCTACTCAGGAGGTTGAAGCAGAAGGATTACCTGGGCCCAGGAGGTCAAGGCTGATGTGAGCCATGATCATGCCACTGCATCTAAGCCTGAGTAACAAAGTGAGACCCTAACTCAAAAAAAAAATTTTTATAGAAAGCCAATGTTTTCATTATATGTTTTGATATAAACCAGTTTTATTCACATGGAATAATGTTATGGTCAATCTACTATCTGATGAAAAGCCTATAAATGAAAGATCTTCAAATTATATGACATTTAGAATTGTGAATATCAACTCATGCTACCTACCCCAGAAAATTCTGAAGGACAATCAGAAAGTGAGCTAATGGGAAATTACCTAAGTACATTGTACTTCGAATTGCATCAGCTTTCCTGTTTCCCTGCCTATTTAACTGAATTCAGATTTGGACCAGTTAAAACAAGCAAATAATACCCAAAGTCTCTTTTGCATCCACCAGCTTAATAAGGCTTAAGGAATATGGAAAGTACTGAGGACCCAGAGTTGAATTTTTTTTTTTTTTTTTGGTATCTTTTTCAGTGCCTGTGTTTTCACCAATTAACAGGTTTGAATGGCACTGATAGTTGAGATAATTTGGAGTATACACACCCAGAAAAGAATAATTTTCCTGGTCCTAAGTGAAAATATCAAGTCTAAGTCTAAGAAAATATCAAGTAAGAGAGAAAGGACTAAATCACATGTACAGGCAGAATCTGGAATCTCACTTTTTGTTATTTGTTTGTTTTAAATTTTTATTATTTTTTATTTTTTTAGTAGAGACAAGGTCTCACCATGTTGACCAGGTTGGTCTCAAACTCTTGGCCTCAAGCGATCCTCCCACTTTGGTCTCCCAAAGCACTGGGATTAAAGTCATGAGTCATCACACCTGGAATTTCCTTTTTTGGTTGCCACATTTCCAAGGAAATAGGAGGCAAAAGGAATCTTCCTACTTGTTATCACTGTTTTGCAGATTCTTGGAAGTTTACAGCCCAGAAATAAGTTTGCTTTAGATAACTGAGTTCTTAGTGAGATTCTCCCTGAACTGTAATACAAACCTATTTGCTTGGAGTGTATGCATTTAATTATACCAAATAACTACTTTTAATTTTTTTTACCATTTAGTTGGTATCATTCAGTGTCCATAGCCCTGCTTTAGATTAAGGTGACCTGCTCTAGAACTATCAGCTTCTACTGGAAGATTTACCTTAACTTCTCCAACAGAAGAACACATATGAAATAGCTTCTGAAGTTGAATTAGCTTATATGCATCATACCATATATTCTGCAGAGCTGCAGAAACAATGCAAGTTCTCTTTGTCTTTCCTGGGCTTAACATTTGTTTTATCTTAGAGAAACATCTCAATTTAATACAACTGATTTTTATTTTTTGTAATAGGGAAAGACATAGAAAATTGATTAGGCAGTTAATACTCTTCTCAGCTGTTCTAAAATGAAACCCTCTTAAGCGTTCCTGAGGTGTGCAGTGTTTTAATAGAGCCATGTAAAATATTAGTATAAAGAAATTATTCCTTTTGCAACTTTTTAATACTGTTGTTGTTGAAAAAAAAAAAACTCATCCAATGTCACCAGTTGTGAATGGGATTAAAGCAAAAAGGACATCAATTCCAGTGAAACATGAGAAAATGTATTTTAATATGTAAGCTTGTCTGTCAGTGGAACTGGAGAGGCCAACTCAGATAGTTCTAGGATATGCTAATATTCCTCCAAGAGGAAGATAGTGTTCATTGAAGCCTTATGCAAAGAGGAATAGTAGAAACAGGGATGGAGATAGCTGTGATTCTTGTGGGAGACAAGAGCAAGGTGGAACCATCTGAAATGGTGACTTCATTTGAGAAAACAGGAAGTGTTGAAGAATGGGTATCAAATTCTTTGGGATTGATAGTCTGCTTGACTCTTACACTTGACTTTTTATTTCTTTCCTTATAGCCAGTGCAGATTTTCCATATAATCCAGGACAAGGCCAAGCTATAAGAAATGGAGTCAACAGAAACTCGGCTATCATTGGAGGTAGGTAATGTGGAGGCAGACTTTTGTGTGGCTGCTCACCTGTGGAAAGTAATAATTTTTAATAAATAATAGCCTAGAAAAAAGTTGCCTAGATTTGTACATTATTCATTTTGCTGTTTAAACAGGACATAAAATTGTGAAGTGTGATATAGAGAAACTGTGGTCAATGCAACCTGGCTACTTTTTTAATGCTGACTTGTTAAAAAGGAAAAAAAATGGTAGTGGTGAGCTAGACAGAATCTGAATACACAAGTAGGTAGTAGTGGCTATAGCCAGGACATTTCTCCCATCCAAGTAGTAACCAGGCCCAACCCTGCTTAGCTGACAAGATCAAACGGAATCAGGCATGTTCAGGATGGTTTGGACATTGCACAACTAGGATATTTCTTTACTCCCTCTGATCTTTTTTCATTCTCCTCCCCCAAATCTCAAATGGTCCAGCATAACTTCCTATAAAAATGAGAAAGATGCTGGTCTAGTTTCAGTTATCATAACAAAAATTGCCAAAAAATAAATAAGTCAGAGCATCTAAAATATTCCAGTCGTCTCACCATGGACAGCTGCAGAATAATTTGACTCTCCTAGGATATTCCCTCATGTTTGCATCAGTAATGATAGGCCAGTTGCAATTGTGTTCTTCACTCCCTTATCCTTCTGTCTTATTCCAAAAGAAGGTTCCTGTCTTTCTGAGTATAATTAATACTGTAAACATCTCAAGGATTTTGAACTCAGCCAAGCAGACGTTGCTTATCCAGTAGTAAGTTTCTTTTCCAAGAAACCAGACAACTATAAGAAATATATATAACTATAATATTAGAAGATATCAGAATGACCCTTAAATCACTTTGCCCAAAATTGTATAATCTTATCCAGGCTCTCTCTCACTCTCTCTCTTTCTCTCTCTCTCTTTTCTTTTTAAAATGAACTGAATTGAAGTACATATGTACCTGTCAGTGTAACAGGTCGATAACTTTTGACAAATGCATAACCCATAACCACCACCCAAAATAGAGAACATATCCATCACCCTCCAAAGCTCTCTTGTGTCCTGTAGTCCATCCTTCCTCTCCCCCACTCCCAATCAAGGCAAATTCTGACCTGCTTTTTGACTTTGCTTTAGATTAGTTTTGCCTTTTTCTGGGTTTCGTATGACTGAAATCATACACTAGGTAGTCCACTGTGCCTCATTTCTTTCAGTCAGAATGTTCTTGAGATCTAGCAACATTGCTTCATGTATCAATAGTCCATTTATTCTTTTTTTTTTTTTGAGTTGGAGTCTCACTCTGTTGCCCAGACTGGAGTGCAGCGGCCACTCCCGGCCACCGCAGCCTCGACCTGCTGGGCTCTGGTGATCCTTCTACCTCAGCCTTCCAAGTAGCTGGAACCACAGGCACGCACTACCATGCCCAGCTAATTTTTTTATTTATTGTAGAGATGAGGTCTTGCCAAGTTACCCAGGAGGGTCTCGAACCCGCGGGCTTGGGCAATCCACTCACCTCAGCCTCCCAAGGTGCTGGGATTACAGGCTGAGCCATCGAGCCCAGCTAGTTCATTTATTCTTATTGCCAAGTTGTATTCCTTTGAATTGATGCAATATAACTTGTTTTATCTACCCACCCATTGATAGATGTTTAGTTTGTTTTCAGAATTAGGCCATTATGGATAAAGTTGATATGAATATTTTTATACAAGTCTTGTGTGAACATAAATTGTCATTTCGCTTCGATAATTCCTAACAGTGCAATTGCTGGATATTATAGGCATTGGATATTTAACTTTATAAGAAACTACCAAAATGGTTGAATCATTTTACTATCCCACAATCAATATCCGTGTTTCTCCACAATCTCACCAACACTTAGCATTGTCAATCATCTTAATTTTATCCATCCTTTCTAGTGGATGAATAGTAGCATCTCAGTGATTTAAATGTGCAATTATCTGATGACTAGCAATGTTGAGCATCTTTTCACATGCCTATTGCCATTTGCAAATCTTTTGTGTGAAGTGTCTGTTTAAATCTTCCCACATCTTTTTTGTTGTGCTGTTTGACCTCTTGCCATTGAATTATGAGTTCTTTTTATAGTCTGGATATAAGTTCATTGTCAGACATATGTATAATGAATATTTTCTCCAAGTCTGTGCCCTGCTTTTTCATTTTCTTAGTGGTGTCTTCTGAAAAGCAGGAGATTTTAATTTTGATGAAGTTCAGTTTTTTTCAAATATTTTTATATGTTTGTGGTTTGTTTATTTGTCCTAAAAAGTCGACTACTCCATGGTTATGAAAATTTTCTCCTTTCTTCTAGAAGTTTATAACTTTAACTTTTACTATAGTCTATAATCACTTTGAGTTAATGTTTATATATGGTGTGAGACAAGGATCAAAGTCATTATTTTTCAAATGAAGATCTAGTTATTCCAAGCCCATTTGCTGAAAAAACTATGCTTTTTCTCAATTGAATTTCCTTTACACTTTTGTCAAAAATCAGTGACCATATATGTGTGTGTCTGTTTTCTGGACTTTCTATTCTGTTGATTTATATATCTTTCCTTATTCAGTACCATGCTCTTTATTGTTCTATCTTTTTTGTGCTGAAATGAGCAGTATACGTTTTTCCATTTTATTTTTGTTGTTTTTCAAAATTATTTTGGCTATTCTAGGTATTTTGCAGTACTATAAAAAATTTAGAATCAGCATATAAATTTCTACCAAAAAAAATTGTTGTAATTGTAACTGGGCTTACATTAGATCTATAAATGAGTATTTTAGTTTTGTCAAAGATGAGTTGGTGGAGAAATTGAGATTTTGCTTCTGGAATCTCTATCCTGTTCCATTGGTCTATATGCCTATTCTTGTACCAATACCAGGTGTTTTGATTATTGTAGCCTTATAGTGAAGTCTAAAGTCTGGGAGTGTGATACCTCCCTTTTTTTTTTTTTTTTTTTTGCTGAGGATTGTTTTGGCTATTCGTGGTCATTATGTTTCCGTATGAATTCCTGTATTGTCATTTTCAGGTCTGAGAAGAATGATGCTGGTAATTTAATGGGTATTGCATTAAATCTGTAGATTACCTTGGGTAAAATGGACATCTCAACAATGTTGATTCTTCCGATCCATGAGCATGGAGTAGTTTTCCATTTCTTTATGTTGTCTTTGATTTGTTTGAGCAGTGTTTTGTAGTTTTTGTTGTAAAGATCTTTCACTTCTTTGGTTAGGAAGATGCCAAGGTATTTAATTATTTTTGTGACGATTGTGAATGCAATTGTGCTTTTTATATGAGTTTCTATTTGTTTATTTGTTTATTGTTGGTGTATAGGAATGTTGGTGTATAGGAATGTGCACATTTATTTCATATCCTGAGACTTTGCCATATCTTTAAATTAAAATTTGTTTTAAAAGGTGAATAAAAGCATTGAGATTTGGTAATCTTGCATTGCTCTATATGTTAGGGGGAATGTGTTTAATCCTTCACTAGTGAGTAGGATATCAGCTGTAGATTTTCATAGATACCTTTTATCAGGTTGACAAAGTTTCCTTCTATTCACAGTTTAATGTAGACTTTATGATAAATGGATGTCAGAAGTTTGCTAAATGTTTCTTCTGCATCTATTGAAATGATCATATGATTTTACTCCTTTATTTGCCTAATGTGGTAAATTACATTGCTTTATTTTAATGTTAAACCAACCTTGCATTCCTAGGATCTATAGCAATTCATCATCATATGTTCCTTTTCTTGCATATTGCTGGGTTTGATTTACTAAAATTATATTGAAGAAGAATATTGCTTCATGGTTTTCTTTTCTTGTAATGTATTTGTCTGTTTTAGTATCAGGATAATGCTAGTCTCATACAATGAGTTGATTAGTGTTTTCTCCTCTGTTTTTAAGAAAGATGTGTAGGATTGGTCGTATCTCTTTAGGTCAAGCTTGTTAGTAGTTTTGCTCAGGTCATCTAAATTTGTACTGATTTTCTGTTCAACTGTTCTATCAATTCTGACAGAAAGTACTAAAATCTCCAAGTGTAATTATGAATTTGACTAATTCTCCTTTCAGTACATTTATTTTGTAGTTCTATTAAGTATATACATATTTTAGAATCATTATGTATTCTAGATGAATTGATCTTTTTGTCACTATGAAATGTTTTATTCCTTACCCCTTGTCTCATTAATATAGCTATTCCAACTTACTTATAATTAGTGTTTGCATAGTGTATCTTTTTCTATTCCTTTATTTTTTTAACTGTTTCATTACATTTAAAGTTCATGTCTTGTAGGCATTTTAAAGTTGGCTCCTTTTTTATCTACTCATCTCTGCCTTTTTTTAAAATTAGAGTCTTACTCTGTTGCCTAGGCTGGAGTACAGTGGCACAGCTTACTACAGCCTCAACCTCCTGGGCTCAGGTGATTCTTCCACCTCGTTCTCCTGAGTAACTGAGACTACAGGTGTGCACTACCAAGCCTGGCTAGTTTCTTTTCATTTTTTTGTGGAGACAAGGTCTCACTATGTTCCCCAGGCTGGTCTCAAATTCTTGGGCTCAAACAATCCTCCTGCCTTGGCCTCCCAAAGTGCTGAAATAACAAGCGTGAGCCACCACTCCCGGCCTCTCTCTGCTTTTTTATTGGAGTGTTTAGATCGATTATATTTACTTCAACCTTTTCTAATCTCTATTATTTCATTTAGTATTTTTTCACTTAAGACATTGTATGTTTCACCTCTACAAATTTCACTTTGTTTCATTTTGTATCTTTCATTTTTTACCTCATTATGATCATGTTTTAACTCCCTGCGCATATTATAATAACTATTGTAATATCCGTATCTGCTAATTCTATTATCTTTGCTATTTCTGAATCTCCTTCTAATTGACTGGTTTTTCTCTTGGATGAGGGATATTTTCCTATCTTTTTTCTCTCTGCAAACTTGATAATTTTTATTGGATGATAGATATTAATTATTATTAATGTTACACTGAGTTTTATTGTGTTCCTTTAATGACTGCTAAAGTTTATTCTGGCAGGCAGTTAAGTTACTTGCAACTTGATTTTTTTAGTCTTGTTTTAAAGCTTTTTAAGAGCAGCTCTAGAGTAGTCTTTAGGCCTATCTTCAGCTTTTCTGCAATTTCTATAGTCCGTATTAAATGTCCTGGTTATTTATTGAGGTCTCCCCAGTGACTGGTTGGAATATGAACATCTCCAAGCCCTATGTGAGTTCTGGAAGTTGTTCTGCTTACAACTCCTGAGTCACTGCTCTTTGCCTGACCTTGTGGACTTTCATCTTATACATGCACATATTGGTATTCAGTCACAGATTCAAAAAGACTTCTCCACAGATTATTAAAGTTATTTATTTATTTATTTATTTATTTTTGAGTTGGAGTCTCACTCTGTTGCCCAGGCTGGAGTGCAGTGGCATGCTCATGGTCATCCCAGTGTCGACCTGCTGGGCTTTGGCTATCCTTTCACCTCAGCCTTCCAAGCAGCCAGAACTACAGGCACATGCTACCGTGCCCTGCTAATTTTTTATTTATTGTAGCGATAAGGACTCACCAAGTTGCCCGGGCTGGTCTCAAACCCACAGGCTCAAGCAATCTACTCACCTAGGCCTCCCAAAGTGCTGGGATTACAGCCTGAGCCACCAAGCTCAGGCTATTGAAGTTCTTTTTATGCATAGCATTCTCTCTCCCTGCCACCCAACCTCATTCAGGAAGACCGCTGTGTTTTCCTTGTGCTGACCCTGGCTATACTGCTGCCCAGAAACTGCCACCAGTCAGAAAACTAGGAAAAACATAGGATTCATCTTTCTGTTTCTCTTTTCTTTTCTGTTTCTCAGCTATTATGGTTCTGTACTGCCTATTGTCTCATGTCTGAAAATTGTTGTTTCATACGTTTTGTCCAGTATTTTGGTTACTTTTGGCTGGAAGACAAGTTGCTCCAGTAGTTCCTGTTACTCTTTCATGGAAAGAAGCAGATTCTTGTTATATTTTTGTTATCTTTGTTGTCGTTGTTTTGGAGTTTGCGTTTTATATGGGAGAGGATAATGTTTGAGAAAACTATGGTGACATGGGGAGAAAAGAGTGGGAAGGATAGAAAAGATTTGTTTAACCTCTAGCGCTTTTTCTGTCTCCACCAGGGGTCATTGCTGTGGTGATTTTCACCATCCTCTGCACCTTGGTCTTCCTCATTCGCTACATGTTCCGTCACAAGGGCACCTACCACACCAACGAAGCAAAGGGAGCAGAGTCAGCAGAGAGCGCGGATGCTGCCATTATGAACAACGACCCCAATTTCACAGAGACCATTGATGAAAGCAAAAAGGAATGGCTCATTTGAGGGGTGGCAATTTGGCTATGGGATAGGGAGGAGGGAATTATTAGGGCGGAGGGAAAGGGACAAAAACACCTTGCTTCATACACTTGAGCACATTCTTAAAATATCAGCACAAAGTTGGGGGAGGCAAACAATGGAATATTCTTGAGACTGATCACCACACAAAAAAAATACTTTTTAATATTTCTTTATAGCTGAGTTTCCCCTTCTGTATCAAAACAAAAGAATACAAAAAATGCTTTTAGAGTTTAAGCAATGGTTGAAATTTGTAGGTACTATCTGTCTTATTTTGTGTGTGTTTAGAAGTGTTCTAAAAACCCGTGGTAACAGGGCAAGTTTTCTACATTTTTGAGAGCCCTTAGAATGTGGATATTTTTTCTTGAGAAAAGCTGATGCACATACATATGGCCCCCAACCTTCTCTTCCTTTTGCTTATAGTCAACTTTTAATGGACTGTTGTAGTAACTAGTTCGTGTTCATATAATATTTCTTTTGATATCCTATAAATTGGAAAGGGAAAGAAAGGGGCAAAGAGAACCTATAATTTGCCAGTTCTCTGAGGGTTCCTGGCTGACACCAGCAGCTGAAGAAAGAGCGTATGGCACCTGTTGTATCACAACACAGTCAACACAACTGGAGAGAAGCTGTAAAGAACCAAGGAGAGTAGTTTATATGGGGGTTGTTGATTTTAACTTTCACTGAATTTCACAAGATAACATTGTTCCGTGATTATAGTCTTAGACCTATTCAGTATCTGTAATTATCCACTGCAACACCATGGTGACCAGCTGTTACAAAAGATTTTTCCTGTATGACCTGAAACGCATTGGATTGATGTGTGTATAAGCGCCTCAATGGGGAATTAGAGCCAGATGTTATGATTTGTTTGCTCTGTGTCTTTTATAGTTGTAGCAAAAGTATGAACAATTTCTAGTGAATGCGTAAATCAGGTTTCTCTTCTTATTTTGCTTTAGATCTCCAGATTTTACACCCCTGTGGCAAAATTCTAGCATACAGTGTCTTCTGAACGGACACAACACAATAAAGCCAAGTTATTATTGTTATCACTCTGAAATCATATGGAAAACACTGCCATATTTCAAATCATTGAATCCACATGTTGTTCCATTCAAAACAGACACACCGAGATGATTCAGGGATCTTCTATGACAGACACAGTTGAACCTCAAGTTCATCACAAACGTGGTAACTGTTGCTTCTCAGAGAATGGACAAGTCCAGTTAATCGCACCTCTTAGTTTAATCAGAAACTTTGGCCAACTTATTTCAACAAATAACTTCTTGATTTTATTTAAAAATAACAGATTTTGTGTAAACAAATGGGGGCAATGTTCCCTATTGAAACACCCCCAAAATAATTTTTTTTTTTTTTTAAATTACACAAAAGTTATTTCTAGAAAGACTACCGCTTATGATCATTATACTTCAGGCCTCTTATATTTAATAAGCACTTTAAAAAATTTTTTTAGACTCCAACATTTTGAAGAATTAAATGTGATCACTTTTTCCTTCTCCTTCTGGAAGGGGGTACATAGAAGCTTAAAAGGTATGGATACTATTGTTCTGATGGCCTGGCCCAATAAAATGGAAATTCTAATTTGTTAGAACTATACATACATATTTTTCAAGAGCCTCAATAAGATTAACTTATTGGAGGATCTCAGTGTCTTGGGTAATGAAAAACATTATCTAGACCTGCCAATGGCACATTGCATTTCTACACAACACATTCTGAAGAAGACATTGGACCAGCTAATTCCCAATCAAGATAACAGAATAAAAAGGAATTCTGAGGCCCTTTTACCATTGCCGGCTGACCTCAGGCACTATCATGAACACCCTTAATTTAAAAAGGTCTTGACTATTCTTCTATGACATACATTTGAAATAAAAACTATTTCATATGACTAAATACCAGAACCCTGTAACATTTATAAATGACACATTGAAAGCAAAGCTGTTTTATTTCACCAAGAGGATTGTTTTATGTATTGTCACATTGAAAAATCAAATTTTAAGCAGTATACTTTAGAAGTGTTTCTGATTTTTCAGCCTGTTTTACAGGTATTACTTTTGCACTTAACAATTCATGCCAGGTGGAAATGTATTACTTTTTGCAGTTCCCACAATTGTTTTATTCCTTATGCATCGCCTCAGCACTTTTCCTTTCCTCCCAACATGATTAGGGCATTAAAACCACCAAACACAATCCTCTCATTAAAGTTTTCTCACCCTTTCTCTTTCCTCTCTTCTTTCCTCCTTCCTGCAACAAAGGTGAAAAATAAGATCCAACCCTTCTCTCATCAAATTTTCAAACCTAGGCCGCTGGACTGACTTCAGGGCTCAGGGGATCAGGAATCAGTAACTCTCCCATATCACCATTTATTAAGACATACAGAGAATGATATAGCACCATCTATTTCCCTAAGGGGGTTACAATGTGGCCATCAGAACACAAAAAGGTGGATACGGTATTCAGTAACTATATTAAGTGCCAAAAGCATGCTGGAAATCTTAGCCTCTCTTTGGGTTTATGGGTTTAACAAAAATTCCCACATCTGTTTATGAAGGCCATCTCACACCTTCCTTAAATGGTAAATAGTCTGTTTATATGAAGAAAAGAAAGTGAGTCTTTCTTCCACCTCCCTCTCTTGACAGCTTAGCACAATGCGGCCTGCATGGCCGTGGCAGTGTGACCCAGGCTCAATGCCTAATCTTGCTTTGTCATTCACATCCCACAAATCTTTTTTTTTTAATCCTACAAAATCTTGACATCTCATATTACAATCCCAATACATTATCAAGCAAGCACAGATAAGCTAGTGGTAGCCTCTTTAAATAATACAAACAGACAAAAAACAAACAAGAGACTGTTTGAAGGTTTCAGGGGAAGTTAATGGCTGATTTAGGGTTGTTTGTACAGGAAACATCTTCTGTCTATAAAGCAAACATTTATGTTTCAAGAAGCTAGGAATAGAAGACGTTGAATGAAGGCAAAATGAGTGTTATTCTAAGCGCTCAAAATAGCATATTCCCTAGAGTTTGAGGAACCGAGCCCAGAAGATAGAAAAAGTTGTTTTATTGTTCAATTATTCTACAGCCCTTCTTAATATTTAAGAATATATTTCCCCTTGTGGCTTCTGACCAACTGCTCAAAAAAAAAAAAGAGAGAATAGTTATAAAGAAGTTTTTCATTTAAGAGCTGGGAACAAGAGTTTAGAGTGCCTTCGTTAGAAAATGTCCTAGTGTCCTGCATCTGACAAACAAGCATCCTTTACTAACAGGAGCAGAAATTCAGAGGCACAAGAAAAAGTATTGGCATGAGCCAAAGAATCAATCTTAATGAGCAGCCACCAGATACACAAAGACACAAGCCATGAAACGCACTCAGCAAAAATCGAACAGCTATGGGATAAGAAAACAAAAGAATTCAGGTCGTGTCCAGAAGAAATTTTTATTTCCTTCTGTGATGGAATCTGTTCTTTTCTGCCCTTCCACTTGGTTTCTTTCTTCCTCTCCTCTCCATGAATATCTTTTTCTAATGGAGTGAATGTCTTAATGTTCTATTTCCCATGCCCCTTAAACAATTAACCTCCTGATTTGAATCTCTGTTTGTTTGTTTGTTTGTTTTTGCCATCCTGTCAAATATTTTCAGAAAGAATGGTAGCAATTATTAAATTGAATTTGAGTCAGCCAGCCAAAAATAGGTCCTAAGTTTCTAGTCCCCAGAGAATCACTTGATCCTGAAATAGGTAAAAAACAAACAGTAATAACATGCTCAGCTGATTTAAGCTAAAAACCAATGGGCGCCACTTTTCAAATGCTGTTTTGGTGAGGTTGGCCCCTGAGATTCAGTTGACAATTTCTGTCTCCCTGCCTTGTTATATGACCTTGGTCAAGTTCCTTAACTTCTGTCCCTGTCTGCCCCATATTTAAGATGGAGCTATTTTACCTACTTCACAAGACAATTGTGAAGTGCCATTGATTCTTGACTGCAGAATACATCAGATCCTGAACATAAAGGCCGAAGTCACCAGAGTCTAGTGGAAGACTTACTCTCTGACTTGTGATTGAAAGTCACATCAGCCGGGCTCGGTGCCTCAACCTATAATCCCGCGCCTTTGGGAGGCTGAGGTGAGTGGATTGCCTGAGTCCATGGGTTCGAGACCCACTTGGGCAACTTGGCGGGACCTCATCTCTACAATAAAAAAATCAAAATGAGCCGGATGTGGTAGCGCGCGCCTGTAGTTCCAGCTACTTGAAAGGCTGAGGTGGAAAGATCGCCAGAGCCCAGCAGGTCAAGGCTGCGGTGACCGGGAGTGGCCACTGCACTCCAGTCTGGGCGACAGAGTGAGACTCCAACTCAAAAAAAAAAAAAAAAAAGGAAACAAATGTGGTCATCTCCGGGAATGTGGAGACTTACACTTCCAGAAATGCTGCATTATTATTATTATTATTATTATTATTATTATTAGAAATGAGGTCTCACTATGTTGCTCATGCTGGTCTCACACTCCTGGGCTAAACAATCCTCTGGTCTGAGCTGGGATTACAGGTGTGACATACTTCACCCAGCCTAGAAGTGCTAAATCATTAATCAGGTAAACTGCCAGTGGGCTAACCTATCAAGGTTGGGAGATGTAGCACAGCAAAAGAGCAGAGAAATTAGAATCATTTGTGCATAAAGCCTGATTCCCGCTTGGATGTGACTTACAACTCACCTTACCTGCTCTTACACATGTGACTAACTGGCTTAATAAATATGCCAACACAAAATACAAATGTGACCTTTTTATGTAGCTTGGTGGCTCTGTGCTTACCCCACATGTTCCCTGCATGGTAATGCTGGAAACTTTAAAGTGTGTTTCTTTCACAGCAGTATTTTTTTCATAGGAGTAGTGTGTAAAGCTCATGGTCAAGGAAATGAGAAAGTCATGTTGAAAAGTTGGGTTTGTGACCTCCCATTGAGCAAAGACGGGCAGAAGGTAATAAACAATATACGGGCACACATGTATTAATGTACGACACACACAAGCTTATGTTCCAGGTGGAATTGTGTTGTAACAACAGGACTACTAAGACAGTCTTGCGCCATTTCCAAGTCTCAGTTAATTTACAGTCACTGCTGGTTTCTGAGATAGCTGTGAAAATATGAAGGTTCCTCCCACGTAGGCCAAGAATCAGTTCTAGATGTTACTGATTCTAAGTTTTGTTTTGTCAGACATTAAAAAAAAAAAAATTAAGTGAGCATGGTGACTGCGGAGGTTAGAGTTGTGAAAAGCTGGACTAAGTATTATTTCTGTAAAGTCAATTAGGATTCCATCCCTGTGAAATAAGATTTCACTCTCTAAAAGCAACAGCATGTAAACTAGAATGAAAGAAGGAAATTATGTATGTATGCCTAATATTCTTTGTGAATGTCTTTCATTTAACTAAAATTATATTAGAGGCCAGATTGATAAATAAAAAAATTCAAAATAGTTTTAATTATCCTAAAAGTGATTCTTTGTGTTTTGTACCACTTGTTCCTCTTAGAAGCAGTTTTCAACCTTAAGCAAAAGTAAATTCCAAGCACTGAAATCCACGTTCACTGAGAAGATAATCTTTCCAAAAGCTGTGGAGATACAGTCACTCCTCAAAGACAGGTCCTATTTGGATATATCCTTAATCTCTTTTTGCTGTATATGAGGGGTAGGGCCCCAATAAAAAAACAGAATTATCTTTTGGAGGATGGGTCCCTTGGAATATAGGCTTCCCCTGCTAGGTAAGCGTTCTAGGAACCTATCACATCAGTATACCAGCTAGCGTTGTTGTGAGAGGCTGTGTTTGGTTTCAGTGAATTTTCTTTTGGAGATTCTTTCGACATGTTTGCCCATTTCATGATGGGTGATTTGCAAGTGCACCTGCCCACACCCTTCCGAGTATTCAGCAGTTTTTGACCCAAAACAGCATGACCTCCATGTCCCACTCTCCCTATTCACCGGATCTCACCCTAAGCGATTTTTTTTTGTTTCCTCAGATGAAAAAAAAGACCTCAAAGGG